GAAGAAGAAGAAGAAGAAGAAGAAGAAGAAGAAGAAGAAGAAGAAGAAGAAGAAGAAGAAGAAGAAGAAGAAGAAGAAGAAGAAGAAGAAGAAGACTGCAAAAACGTACGCTAAAATGCTTTCAGTGCATCTCTTTTGGATATATTCAACTTCTGGGTACACCTTTGTATTTTCGAAAATATTGAGGATACTGCTGCTTTTAGAATATAAAGGAAAAATCTAAACAACTCTGACATATCAAATCCAAGGTAGGGAAAATACCTGCTCAAGGCCCCTGGTACACGGCCTTGGGGCGGGGCCTCGCCGAACAGTTAGAACCGAGGTTCGACCCGCCCTTGCTCTGGAGCTCACGGACCTGATCCGCTAGGCTCAAAGGGGTTGGGACGGTTGGAGCAGAACCTGCGTGGATGACAGAGCTCCGAGGAGGCCAAAGCCGGCCTGAATCCCAGTCGCTCAGGTAGGGAGAAAGGCAGTTCTGCCCACTTGGCTGGCTGGCCAGGAAGGGAGGTGAGCCTGGGAGAAGCTTGAGGATTTGGGAACGTTGCTCACATATAATCCTAAATTGTAGTCAAGACATTATTTTCTGTAGGCGGTTAGAAGACGAGAGTGGGTGTAACTTGGGCACAACTTGGCTCAGTTCCTTTTCCATGCAGAAGGAAAGACTGGGGTATTAGTCCTTCCGATTCCCTGCACTGTAATTTTTGTTTTTGTTTTGATGTATCCTGGCTTGTGCGCCCTGAACAATCGTGTTTTTTGAGGACAGTTACTTCTGGTCAAGCAAGTGCCGATGACTATGTCAGGGTGCCAATTTACTAAGCTTTGTCACGTGAGGCGTTGTGACCTTAAGGTTTAGTTTTGCACTGGACTGAAAATGTTGCATGTAGGGAAACAGTCAATACCAGCTCCCTCCTTCTCAGACACAGGCCAAGTTATCTTCCCTGTGTGCTAGCATCACATCTGGAGTAAAAATGTGTGCTCAGAAATGGTCGATTTTCACGTGAGTGACTAAATTCATGAGTAATGTCTTCTAAAGGAGCCTGTGGTTGGGGAGGGGCTCTGCACAAGCAACGCAACATGGCTGTCAGGCTTTGTTCAATAACATTTACTCTTTTTTTTTTTTTGAGACGATGTCTTGCTCTATAATTCAAGTGAAGGGGTACAGGCATGCACTTCCATGTCCAGTTTACATTTCATTTTCTTTAGCCATAAAATATTTACAGGCACTAAGAAGGGCCTTTGTTTTTGAAACACTAAGGAATCTAACTGTAAGCTGTTAGACTGAAATGAACACATGAAAGTTAGCTTTCTATTGGTATTGTGTTCAATTTCTTATGCTAAGTTTATTGTGCTAAATGAATGATATGCCTGAAAAGATTCAGGCTCTTTCTGATGTCAACAGTGGTACCCGGATGTGTGCACATTTCTCATTCCAGTGTTATCACAGGCTAGAGAGACTGCTTGCTTCCAGCTTACAAAAAAAAAAAAAAAAAAAAAAGAATTAGGGGAGTTTTGTTCTTCATGTGCAATGAAACTTGGAAACTTTTATACAAAGATAAGTAATTAAAATCAGAAGAGAAGAACTCAGTGGAAACAAGTCAGAACAGAGCACTTCCAACTGCCTAGCCCTGCACCACCTGTACTGCTTGATCTTCATTTAGTCTATGAATAAGACAGGAAATACTTCTGCTAATAGGGAGGAAAAGGATGCGACAGGAGGCCAGGCTGTTACGCAACGTCTCAGCAAGGCTAAAAATGATTTTAAACCCCTTCTGCCAGTGCACAGGCCAAGCTACCCTGGGGAGCTGCCATCATGTATAATAAAGTACATAATCAAGATAGAACTGGTATTTTTTGTATTCCCCAAGTGGACCTTTCACTAAAGTAGGTCTTCAACCTCAATCTGTTACTCATCTGTGCTATTATAACCAAATGGCTAAACATTCCCATCTGATCATTTTCAAAGATATTCCATAGAGAAATAAATTTAGAAACCATTCAGGAAAAATTTCTTCCCTTTCTTTTTTCTTTTTCCTTTGTCACAGTTAAGAATGGGAAGAACTTTGCTGTAAGTCAGTCATTCTCTAGGCAGTGAAACCAGGACCTCGGAAACTGATTACAGCTTAAGGCAACACTGCCCCTGACTCATGACATGAAATCTTACAATGATCCATGGCAGACACCCAAGTTCATTGCTTCCCGCAAGATGACTTTTTGCTAATTAAGAAGCATCATGACTAACAGCTCATCCTTTACATAGAATTTCACTGCAAGTTGTTTCTTTTTTTTTTAATGTGACACATCACTTTGAAACAGATGATTAGATCTCCCAATAATAGTAGGCCATGGGAACAAAAGTGAAGCAAACATTTATTAATGTTTCCCTTAAAAATCCTGTTATATCAAGGAGCCTAGACTACTGTCTTTCAACTAGTGTAGAATATATTGTGTCATTTTCTTAGAAAGTACCATGCAAGTTGTAACATTTTGCACCCATAAACAATCCTGCTAAGTTTTTTCAAAGATGTTATAAAATAAAATATTAAAGCAGTCTAACTTAAAGATGGCCAAAACAGAGACTATAGCTTATCACAACTCTGGCTGAATTTCAAAATATACATGATGAATGAGGATGAACCATCTGTCCACTAGAAAGCCTATTTCTTAATTGTCTAATTTTTAAAAAATTGATGAGCAGTAATAATAATAATGACAGTAATGATAGCATAATTGTCAGTGTTTACTGAGCACTTACTATTGTCCAACAGTCTCCCACCAGTATTCTTCTCAACAACAACATGAAGTGGCTATCAGCCCCATTTTGTAAATGAGGAAACAGAAGCCTGTGACTGTGACTGATACCAGCATCATTCTAAATTAATCAAAATTAACTGTATGATAAAAAAAATTGTTGTACAAATAACCTGAGGGCAAAAAAATCAGTTTTACTTCAACATTTTAGAAAATCTTCAGGAGTGAATTTATTTACTTCTAATATGATGTGATAATATATACCAATGTATATCTATTATAAAATGTTCAGAATTCATGTATTTGAACCACTAATGTTTCACAATTTGGGCAACTTTGAAAGGTAATTGAGCTGATCTGACACAGCTAAGTGTTAGAATGTGTCCCTCTAGTTAACCTTAATGATAGAAGCTGAAGCTAAACTCACTCTGTAATCTAGGATTGCAGAACAAGTGGAAAATTAAGGTAGTTTTAAGTAGGGCATTTAAAAAGAAATGTTTTGGGTAAAGTAGTATTACAATTACTGAATAGAAATCAGAGTTCCTCCTGTCAATTCTAGTTCATAGGTGAATTAATTGTTTTGTTTTGCTATTTGTTTTTGATGTACTAAAAAAAGCTGTACATGTACCTTCAAAAGTAAGCGTCTACATATAAAAAGATTAAATTTCTTTCTAGGGAAAGAAATTGTATATAACTCTATTGCAGTTCATACTTTCTTCAAAGCATTTGAAATAGAGACTTGAAAATGTTGGTCTTGCTTTTCTTCAAGTGCCTGTAACTGACTACCAGCAAGGACAATAGTGTCCCCTGATCATTGAAAAGCTGGTGGTGCTCTACCTGGGCCTGTGTTTCTCTGCTGGAGTGACTTCCTCGGGAAATTCCACATTGTGAGCATCCATCAGATTTCACATGCCTGAATGCTCCAGCGCTCTCACCAGTTCTCACTTAAATTCCTATTAGCCAGCCTAACTCGAGCAGAAGAACTCAGCGCTGTCATTAAAGATCGCCCAAGTTACAGCCCGAAAAGATATTGTACTCTCATCCCTCTTCCCCCTAAAATGTATGCGTTTAATTTGTTCGAAATCAGTTCAATTTTGTTAAGTGGAAGACATAAGGAAAAAAAAGATCTATGGCTTAATCACCACTTAACACCCCCATGGAACAGAAATGTTGCGACCTAAATGTAAATTGTGGGAAAAACAAGGATTGCAATAGTCCTGCGATCTCAGCATCATCCTGGCATAGGACCCTAAATGTAAACAATTTCATCTATAGGGAAATGAGTGTGAGCACAGGTGAGCTTGTAGGAGACAGCGTTTGTGAATGACCCTCCTCAGACAAAGGAATCAGTAGAGGAGTGCACAGAGTTAGGTAACGCTCTTAGGTGCTACAGACAAGGGTTAATTAAAGGCTCTCAGAAGTTCAGGTCTGTCAATTATTTCCTTATCTTTCATATTCACAAATGTACTTTTTGTTCATTTGTTTGTTTGGAAACAAGGTGTCACTAAGTAGTGCAGGCTGGCTTTGAACTCACTAAGTAGCCCAGACTGGCCTCCAACCGAAAGCAATTCACTTCAGTCTCCTAAATGCTGAAATTATTCACTAACATATTTAACAATGAAAAGAGTATCATTTCAAACATTAGGATCACTATTAGATTGAGGGGAAAGAATCAATACATTAATATTGACAGCATTTATAATTTAAACATTCCAATCAGCAGACTAGCTAGAATGCATTTAAGATTGTTACAGAATTGACTGACTTCATGAAAGTCGAAAAGGAAATTATGCAGTGCATAGTTTATCTTCTGGCTGGTGCCATTTCTTTTTCCATTTTCCTCCCATAGATTCTGCCTTGCAAGGACTTTCATGTTACCCTTTCATTGCTACAGGATTTCTTCACCCTGTACCTACGCTAAACTGGTCACCTGACTTTCTTCTTTTAATAGCAACTGGCTGCTTCTGTTTTCAAGCATTTATCTCTCAACTTCCCTAATTTTCAATTCGTTTCCATTCTTTTAGGTTGCTTAATTCTCAACTATGTCTTAAAGGTGTGATTGAGTATGAGTGTAGATGATTGAAGATGCTTTGGAAAGCCTTTGTGGAGCTGGCTTATCTTTACCTCTAGGATCAATAATACTGTTTCTGTGCAGGACAGTCATACCCAGAAATGTATGCTGGTTTGTATATAAAGTGATGGCAAAGGCAAATGATTTCTTTTTATAGCAGAACTTGTTATTCAGGCTGTTGAGATCCAGTTTCTGTTAAAGCAGGAGTGGGTAGAAGACTATTAAAACTTGTGCATCTTCGGGTGTGGTTGTGCAGCCAGCTTCTCGGAGGCTGAGGCAGGAGCCCAAGCTTCAGCCCAGCCTGGGCAATTTAGCAACCCTGTTTCAATATTTTAAAAGGTCTTGGAGGATGTGATTCAAGGCCAAGCCTCCTCTTATCATGCTTTTAGTTATGGTAATGAAAGTGTGCAACTTCTTCATGTGGCTGTTTATTGAGGTTCAGTAGTCAAAGGTCCACTGCCCTCCACCAACCCCAGGCATGGACCGATCATTTCCAAGCTACTCTTATAAAATGGAATCTCATTTGGTTTGTATTGTTTTTCTACCCCAGAGCATTTTCATCAGAAACATCTCCTATCAAATTCTTACCCTATCTTATAGCTCTCATTTTCAGACAGTGTAGAAGTTGCAGATGGGCA